GGGAGAGGAACTGAGGAAGCCTGACGCACCCGCCCATTTCTTCCCCACTTTAGATGAAAAATTATCAACATTAATTGAACGTCAACATCAGAATTAGGAGGGATATGTGTTTTAGATTAAAAAAACACTGCATGAAGTTTTATTTATTAATTTATTTCACGTCGCGACTCCGCTGAATCTTAAGTTTAAAACCTACTATTGAATCCTTTGTACAGACAATGAAGCTGCATTTCTATATTATGAAACCTAATTTTTTAAACATATTTTTTACCAATATTTATATTAGTTATTACAAGTACCGGTACTTATTACCCACCCACATATTTGTGTTTCAAGTTCTGTCACTATATAATCTTTGGTCAAGGTCACTGCTTCCAAACATGTAAACACACTGCGCCGGGCCGGCGTTAGTCAGCACTCGGGCCCAAATGCAAGATCAGCCGTGGTGTACACCATGCCATGGTATCCCGGCTGTGGTAATACAATGGAGTGAAAATTTTGTGATTATTCAAGATGGGCCATGGTGGTACCCGACTGTCATTTGTTGTTACTACGTCATCGTAGTGTAGTCAGGTGTACCAACTGCTGGAAGACTTGGGGGATGGTATGCTTGCACCCTGAAAATGTTGTCAGTGGCACGAAACGTTTGTTCTTGCTACACGATTTACGAGCATAAAAAATTTGAATCCCACGCTAAGGTGCACCTCATTTTCCTATTTTCTTGGATTATAAGCCAATTCTGGGAATAAAATACGATCATTTACAGTGAATATAGGTAAATAAAGCCTTTGACAACCATAAAAAACGTAGGAATTGAGTGTAATATCTGTTCCTTTCTTCTTTATCCTTATTAAATCTAACAATAAAGTTATAAGTTTTTCATGAACTTGGGGTTGGGCGAGTGTAATAAAGAGAACTATGGCCTGTTCTGTGGATGAGGTCAGTAGAATATACCAAAGTACAGTATTAGGTATTATAATTTTGTTATGACAGTGATGAACTCACTTTACAGATGAATTTGGATAAAATCTTGAAAAAATATCACCATAACTGTTAGTTTTCTATCAAACAGGAAATTATCTTTATACCAAAATTTTTACTTTCATATTATACAAGGCCAGTTATCTACAAGATATGAAAACTTGAGATAATGTTTCCTCCTTTTCTCCACCTGATTATAGTAATGCAATAAACACCCTTTCAAAAAAACAAGACATGAACACTTTCCCAATGTGAGGAGTAAAAATGTATACAATTTGTTAAGACATGGACTAAACCAGAAGTCGGAGAAAGGTCTCTGCTGTTTAAAACGTCTTTTATTTGGAAAAATATTACATGTAAATACTGTATATGGATCCTCATCAGAGAGCCTTCATATAGTTAGTGTGCAGACATTTGTTTACAAGGCATATACTCAACTATTATGGAAATGAAGACATGTTAGGTTAGATTAGGTTCATCTTGTGAGCAAATGTCATGGAACCCATATACAGTAGGTATAGTCATGAAATTCTTCCAACTAATCAGAGACTAATAATGTTAAACATAGAACAAGATGATAATTAAATGGTTTAAAAATATACTCAATACAGTCTGCAATGTTAATTGCAAATCATTCCTGCATTTTTTAATGTTTAATATAAACTGTAATAATAAGGATAAGAATACAATGATAATGCTTATTTCAGAATATAGCCTTTATTAAAAGCAGGATATGCTATAATATATGGATGATCAAGAGTAAAGTATTTTAAAAGAAAAATTTTCCACAAATTTCACAAATAAATTAATACGTAATATCCACGTATGTATGCTGAGTGTAAAATAAAAAAAATATAATAATTGTGGCATACAGTACGTTATGATTTCTCCAAGGTATATGTTCAGAAAATTCCAGAAACTGCATTTTTTCTGGTCTATGAGTAATGTGGGGATTTTACGGAACGTCTCCAAATTTTTCTGCTCCGAATCTGGGAACCAGTTCCGAGGTTAGGTTAGAAAGCAAATTCCAAAATCTTCCCTGGAACCGGAGAAATTTCCCATCAATCAAATGATACCAAGATTTATTTCTTCAGTATTAGTGAAAGGTGAATTGTTAGCTGTATCTCTACCTGTAAGTTAAAATAAAGTCATTAATATTGTGTTAGTTAAATTTGCGAATTCTGAAACATTTATATTTATGAGGGTTAATATTTATAAGTTTCCAACATCTAAATATTGAGGGTAATTTTGTCTGTTCAAAAAAAAATAAAATAAAATAAAAAATTCCAAAGGAAACTCAGATTTGTTTGGTTTGATATGCAACACACACTAAAAAAAATTATTGTTTTTTTTAATGTACTGTAGTGTATATTGTTATGGTGATCCCAAAACTTTGATCCCTTTTTTTGGATAAATTCATAGAACAAAAATTATAAGCCCTTTAAAATTTTAATGATCAATATAAGAATGTTAACCTAACCTACCTAACTTAATCTAACTGGAAACTGACTTGACTATCATAAAAAAAGTATACTGTCTTTCATATTTTAAAGGTTGGATTAAGGACAAATTCACTTAGGTTAATTTCTGGTTACAGTTAAGTAGGCAAATCTGACATTTCTGTTGTCATCATTAGAATGTACGTATATCACATTTATTGAAGATTCATAGTTTCATTATCTTTGAATATCCAAGAATTGTGATACAAAAACAATTAACGGTAAAGGGAGTCATACCTGTGATTACTTTCTACAATTATTACATCTAGCTATAATTGAGTGGAGCATCAAGGTGAGTTAGGTAAGGTACAAGGAGTTTAAAGATGAAAATGTATTACAGTCTCTCTTCGACTTACGACGGTGTTCCGTCCCGACGACCAGGTCGTAATACCTGAAATATTGTTATTAAATATTATCATCAATGACTTCTTTTGGTATTACACAATACAATTTGGTGCTAATTTTTTCCTCTTACATAAAGTAGCTTTAGTGTATAGGGTGAAACATTTATCATGAAGTGATTGTCATTTGAACTTTACGGAGTCTGAATTTGTAAAAAAAACAAAACTTATGTTTTTAATCAATTTGGTAAAATGAATGTTTAGGTCATCCACCTACTTGGCATTTGAAAAAACATAATTTCAATGTCACCAAACCTAACCTAACCCAACTTAACTAATCTAACGTAACCTAACTTAACTGGTAAAAATCGGTCAACTTAAAATCATTAAATTCGCTGGATGGCCAAAAGATAATAATATCATCAATTCCATTTACTTTAGAAGGACTTATTCATTTTTGTTGAAATCATGGACATACAAAGCCAGTATATCTACATTTGATTCTACCACTGTGAATGGCAAAGTTAATTAATATCACCGCTCCAACTGTTGGCCCAAACAAGTCGTAAAGTAATTCTTTCTTGTAATACATCGAGTCACTAAGGGAATAAAAAAATAAAACATGAATTTAGGTCACTGAATTTATCTTATTAGTAGCAAATTGTGGTTAAACTGATACACAAATGAAACATGCCTGGGAAGTACCTAGCACTAGTTACCTGGCATATTTGGACTTATTAAAATATGAAATCTAGGCTTATAAGTAATTATACTAAGGAAATAATTATTCTGGTAGTGCTGGACGGTTATTAATTGCGCTCATTACGAAAATTGGGTCGATAGTAATTCTGATAAAGGACGTCATTCACCATCACGGATGGACCAGTTTGGATTCACCTGGCATTGGTTACCCAGCATATTTGGACTTATTAAAGTGTGAAATTTATGCTACAAAGTATTTATACTAAGACAATAATTATTCTGGTAGTGCTGGACTGTTATTAATTGCCCTCATTACGAAAATTGGGTCGATATTAATTCTGATAAAGGACGTCATTCACCATCCCAGAGGAAGCTGTTCTCACCACTCTTCAAATAGACTATTTATGACTTTTTTTTAGTTTAATTTGATTTCAATACATTTCTACACATAAATTAGTTGTATTAGTTATCTTAAAGGCTTACCTTTTATGATGGTTAGGCGAATTTGGAGGATATAAACGGCGATGAGACAAGTAGAGGCTGGTGGCATTTTTCGTACACAAACACGGACCGCTTTTAAAAAGAACAATACAATTCTGCACGTGCTGTTCTACAGGGAGTATATCGTATAACAAATATTATTCCTTTGCAGATTTATACATTTCATGTCCATTCAAATCAATTTTCGTTCATTTGGTTACAAAAATAGTTCCCTCGTATTGATCATCGGACAGGGGTATGTGTGCCACGAAATTTCCCCATGTTCCAATAACGAATTGTACATATTTTTCTTTTTTTTTTTAGCCAAAAACGCTTCTTGCACAACAACCATGGGAGTACTACAGCATGGTATGCACCACGGCTGATCTTGCATATGGGCCTCAGTGTCATGTCCGGGTGGGAGGGACGCATCCCACCTTAGCTGTTAAGTGTGGGCTCAGAAATATTAACTTTGCACTCGGTTAATGCAGAATGACTGTAATATGAGGTATTCTAGTGTTTGATTTTCGTTTTGTTTTATCATTCTTGGGCTGTTGGTTAGTGTTGTTATTGTTAAGTTAGGTTGGGGTAGGTTAGGTAAGTGTTAGGGTGGTTATTCGTCGGGTGAAATAAGCTGGGGAGCTCATATTTAGGTGATTCGAAGTGAAGGTGAATGAGTTGTGTGAGGAATCATGCATTTATTGGTGTTCTTTTATAGACCAAAATATAAACCCTATATTTTTTGAGGATGTCTAAGTCTGTTGGTGTTTTATTATGCCAAGGAAGAAAATTGGGACAACCAGAAGACTCACCTTCCCTGATTATTTCAAGATTAACCACCCTAACACTACCTGGGGAAGGGTTGGGTTAGGATTAAAGTGGTTAATCTGAAGATGAAATAAGCTGGGAAGGGGACTTTTCAGGTTCTCTGAAAAGTGTTATGCAACACAGTGCACAATAATATAAACTGTATATTAAGGAGGCATTTGCTTTTCAGAATGTGCGGGATGCAAGGAGGAACTGGTGGAGGGGCAGGCGCTGATCGCCCTCGACCAGCAGTGGCATATATGGTGCTTCAAGTGTGCCATCTGCAGTACTGTGCTACATGGAGAGTACATGGGCAAGTGAGTACACTTTCGTATTGATCTTCAATTAACCTTTTTGATGGTTATTTATTCGTTTATATAAGAACATAAGAAAATAAGGAGTCTGCAATAGGCCGGTTGGCCTGTGCATGGCAGCTCCTGTCGAGAGTTACTACCACTCTCTTTCATCCATGAATCTATCCAGTCCCCTTTTGAAACTTTCCAGCATTCCAGCACTTACTACATAGTTGCTAAGCTTGTTCGACTCGTCCACCACCCTATTTGTGAACCAGTTCCTTCCTATCTCCCTCATATATATATATATATATATATATATATATATATATATATATATATATATATATATATATATATATATATATATATATATATATATATATGTATATGTATATGTATATATATATATATATATATATGGAGGAGAAGGGAGAAGAGAAGGCATTGGGGTGGAAGAGAAGTCACCCCATGCTTCGTGTCACCATTTCACCCATAAAATTTTAGTTCACTAGGTGTTATTCAAGATTATTTTCTTTAAATCAACACTGCACTGCATTATATATTGTCAATATGTAAAATAAACTTCAGAATGACCAATAATTGTACCGTAAAAATGTAAAAATAGTTTATATTCAAGAGAGTCTCAAGCAAGATGCTTCCTCCACTGACCAGAGACACAAACTGACGCCATTCTGGGTGAGTCAAGTGGCTGTTTGGCATTCTAAAAACTAGTTCCCTGTACTTCATTTATGTTAAATAATTGTTAAAATGACTAAAAATTTTAATATAAGACTTGGAAAATTATTGAATAGTACAACCTTCTTGATATTTACTCAAATGGTAACGAATTTAAGCCCTAAAACTGATTACTGTATTGGCGGACTAATACTACAACTGGTGAGCAGGCAAAATCAGGCGAAAACATGTTGGGAAAAATTCGTAAGGAATTCGTTAACCTAATTTTTTTCGTTAACCGAATTGAATATTCTTATGGAAGGTAATTCGTTAACCGAAATTTCGTTAACCGAGGGATCACTGTACTCTATGTCTCTGGTTTTTTGACAATTATAGCTGGGGTGGAAATTAACGCTCGCCCGCGAGCCTGAGTCTAGTAAAAATCTAAAAGGGCAAGTTGAACATTGGGTTAACCAGGCCAGTTGAGTAGTGATAACCGTAGGTCGTTCTCCAATATGAACAGCATGTGTACCAGGTTGAAAAACTATTTGGAATAAACCTCATATTTGATATGTAGTTAAATGGATATTAATATTAAAGCTGAAATTTCTTTTAGTGTGTAAAGTTTAATGTAGTTGTACCATTTATTGTTTTTTTTTTAATTAAAGTAATTTTATGTACTGAGAGTAATAAACTCAAGGTCAGAAACTCAGAACTCCAAATGTTTTGTTTTTGTTTATATTTGCTGCTAGATTCTCGGCCACCTTGGTCCCTGCCACTGCTCTTCATATTGATATTTAACGGTTTTAGGTCAGTTCCTCACTGGACAATCCGTCTCCTCCACTACTACCATTTTTATTACTTATTATTGTCCAAAGAACATCTATAGAAAAAATTAACAAAATCGAACAACTCCTGGTGTTAGTCGTCTACTCTGCCTTTGAAAACTGGTGATGAAATGACCAGTTCACGAAATTGCCTGGTGATGAATAAACCAGTGACGAAATGTCTGCCCACCATATCTAACATCGTTCTTAAGATAAGCTGCCCAATTTTAGAAGAAATTATGTAGAAAAAAATTTATCCATAAGTCTGGCCCAAAATTTCCTTAATTTTAATAGAATACCCGGTGGTACAAGAAAAATTATTCTTCTTAACATTTTAATAATTGTGAGATTTAATCTCCCATGATGTTTCAGGGATGGCTTACCATACTGTGAGAAGGATTATCAAGCCCAGTTTGGTGTCAAATGTGCATATTGCAATCGGTTCATCAGTGGCAAGGTATTACAGGCTGGCGACAATCACCACTTCCACCCCACTTGTGCACGATGTACCAAATGTGGCGATCCATTTGGAGATGGAGAGGAGATGTATTTACAAGGTTTGTTTTGTTGTCTTGTCACTTTTTGTGCAACAGTTAGGGAGATACAGCACTTACCTCTTGTCCAGCTGGTTCCATTTTTTTGCCTAGATCACCCCCAGTTTTGAGGAATGAATACACTTTGATTTTGTATTACTTTCTAAGAAAAATGGAACCCCATAAAACATTTACTTTATACATCTAAAATTACAGGTACAGCCATTTGGCACCCTCGCTGTGGCCCCGGTCCCACAGAAAATGGCACTGTCCTTAATGGTTCACTATCCAATGGCCATCACATTAATGGGGAACAGAAAGCTGAGAGAGAACGTGACTTTGATGGCATGAGCTCAACAGCTTCAGAAACACAGGTAGGTACCCAAGTCTTACAGTATACAGTTGTACTGTACAAGAATAATTACATTTTAGTTCAGTTAGATTGCCTTTCCTCTATTAGTGCTTCGATGGTACAATTAGGATTGTTATTTACATGGTCCTTTGTGATAATATACAAATTAAGAATGCAATACTCCTCTACAGATATAAAATTGTTACATTTATAATTTAGGAAATAAATTTGTCCAATCAACTTGCATAAGTTGTGCATTTGAACTTATTCAGGCATGATATCGTCTCCTGATAAAAAAAATGAAGGTAATAACTTCCGCAGGCTTAGATAAAAAATAGCAGAGGAAACAAACATTCCTGAATATCTGGAGAAAAGTATAACTGTGGATCACCTTACCAAACCCGAGGACATGATGCGCTAGTGTATGTTGTTATGGAGTTACTGAGACGTGAATTAGATTCACTTAAATTCTAGATATATTCATACCAAATTTTGAAGTGTTAGAGGTTACTACTGTAGTACAGTACGTACTTGCGTTTTCATATTAGGTTCATGTGTGATGATCTAACCATCACATATTTCCTTGAGTGTGGGAGTTTGTTACAATAAGACCTTGTTAATTTGCTTCTCAGGAGTTGACTAGTTGAATAAATTTGCACAGAATTTGCTGGAGAACTTTATAATACCTGGAATATTTATTCAATAGCTTCTCAGAAAAAGTTGCTGTAGTCTGACTAAATAAATAGGTGTACAGAAACAAGAAATTAGGAGAAATTATTAAAAAAAAAAAGAATCACCACAATATCTTTAACCTGTTAAAATTATGTGTGGGATGATCAGGTCGTCAACATATGTCATAACTTAATTCATGAATGTTTGGAAGTTTTTTTCACTCCTTGCACTCAATTTTGGGGATTATCAAGTTTGTACAGTACAGTGTAGTCTGCATTTACGAGGTCACATGAACCCGTGGAGGCCCGCGTAAAACGAGAAACGTGTAAATGAAATAACAGAACATATGGGATTAATTGAAATAGTGTCTGGGCCGACCTCCAAACTCCACTTTTTGCCGAATACGTACGTTGTAGTAAAAATAGTATCTTAACTTTATGATGTTATGCACACACACATGATATAGAAGATAAATATCAATAAGGTAAAAGAAAAATCAAGGTTTAACACTTACGTTAGGTTAGAAAAAATCTAGGTTTAACACTTACGTTAGGTTAGAAAAAATCAAGGTTTAACACTTACGTTAGGTTAGAAAAAATCAAGGTTTAACACTTACGTTAGGTTAAGTTAGGTTAGAAAAAAATCAAGGTTTAACACTTACGTTAGGTTAGGTTAGGTTAGGTTTAACACTTATGTTAGTAGAAGAGATGGGTCGGCATACGTTGGTGGGGGCTGGTTCCGAGGCAGAGGGCAGATTACTGGCACCTCAGGTGAATCACCATCACTCTCCACCATAGTTGTCAGGGCCTCCCTGACAAATCTCTCAAAGTCAACATCACTATCACTGGCTTGGGCTGGCTGTGGTGCGTTGCGGGCGAAAAAGTCTGTGATGTTAGGCTGACGGCTAGTGTTGATGTGTTCGTGATACATCTTGATGTACGGCTCCATAGTTTGCAACAGCTGGTTATTGAAGACTTCATAGCGGTGATCGTCAGGGTCGTTGGAAAGGACGAGCTTGAGTTTCTCGGCAAACTCGATGGCATCCTTTACATTACCATGTGTTAACTATGTTCTTCTCAGGCTGCCACACCACCTGCATCTTCACTGACATCATCATCTTCCAACATCTCGTCAGCAGTCACCTCAGGATCCCTGATCACCTCCATAATGTCGTCGTTGGTGGTTTTGGAGAAGCCTGCTGCTGTAACACTCTGTGCATCTTCTCTTGCAAGATCCACTGCCACTGCAACAGACTGAACCTCACCAGTCACAGGTTGACTCTGCCTCCCACCTGGTATACCTTGCAACACATGCTGCCATGCGTGACGAATCGTTGTCACAGACAGTTGCCCCTGTGCCTCCACCAAGAAATCAACAGCTTTATTTACGTTAAATTTCTTCCAAAACTGTTTGACGCGAACTTCTTGATCCGCCAACTCTTGTTTCTCGTCGTCGCTCTCGCTATCAGTGTCACCCAGGTTACGCAACTCATCCTTGGTGTTGGTACAGTCGTTCATGAGCTTAAACTTCTTTGTAGAGAATGCAGCCTTAATGTTGCATATCAACTCCTGGTCCATGGGCTGAATTAACGACGTAGTGTTGGGAGGAAAGAAGACCACTTTTACGTTGGGGTGACGATACAACAGTAGGGCCGAGTGTCCTGGTGCATTGTCAAGGAGCAACAAAATGTTGAATGGAACATTCTGTTGTTCGCAGAATTTCTTGACGTCGGGAACGAAACAGTCGTCAAACCAGGAGAGGGACAGAGCAGTGAACATCCACGCCTTACGTGCGGTTAGCCAGTGGACATTTAGCTTGGTCATGTCCATGTTCTTGTAAGCGTGCGGCTTGCGGGCTGTGTGGATCACCGATAACTTGCCTTACAGGTACCGGAGGCATTGGTGGTAAACAAGACAGTGATGCGCTCCTTCTGCAACTTCCGGCCCCAACACTTGCTGGCAGACTTGATAACGAAGGTCTTGGTAGGTAGCTTTTTCCAAGACAGACCAGATTCATCCATGTTGAACACCTGGTCGTCGGTGTACTATCCTTCCTCCATAACTTCTCGTAAGAATGGAGGAAAATCACTTGCCGCAACACGGTCAGCACTCGCTCCTTCACCAACAATGTTAATATTATTGATCTTGTTCCTCTTCTTAAACCCTTGCAGCCACCCAGAGGAAGCAGTGAAGGGTTTAGGCTCTGCAATTCCCATCTTACGTGCCACTGCTACGTACAGTTCACGGACATAGTCCTGAACTGACCCCGTGTCCACCGCCATGTTCCTTCTTGCCTGACGAATCAAGTAGCTCACCAGCAAATTCTCAGTCTTGAGCAGCACCTTGTTTTGGCAGTACTTCACCATTGAAGCACCTGCAGACTTTGTGATGCTCAAATGTTCTTTTATTTTGGCGGCATCCTTCTTGATCGTCCGGATCGTAGATTTGTTCACGCCATGCTGGCGTGCCAAATCAACTTGCCTCTTTCCTTTTCTAATTCTTGTACGATCTTGTACTTAACTTCGTAACTTAGGACACGTCGTATCTTCTTTGGCTTGGAGCGGCTGGGTCCAGGTAATGCAAGGTTTTTCTGTGGTGGTGGGGGTCCAGCGGATGCCATTGTTACGAGATTAGCGGGCACAATAGAGCACAGTATACACCAGGTGACTGGGAACAGGGCGACTGACGCGGGTAGCGGCGGCTTCTCTGTGGTGGCACGTCATATTACATTGAACCAATCACAGTTAGCGGGGGAGGGAGGTAAGGATGCATGGCCCAATCACAGTCCAGTATGTCATATGACGTCACTGATAATGCAACAGCGACATACTGCGCAACCTTACTCGCGCCGCTTGTGGTCAGGCATGGGCCGCTTGAATACAAAATGGCGCGACGCGTCTGGACCCTCCAGCGACTCTCCGCGTAAATGACCAAATTTACAGCGCAATTAAAGCATTTCAATTCTGGCAAGGCACCGCGTAAATGACCAAATGCGTTAACCAAAACCGCGTAAATGACCAAATGCGTTAACCAAAACCGTGTAAATCCAGACTATACTGTACTGAATAGTATTGTTTTTTCTTATTTCTGGTTACAGTACTGTATATATTACTGTAATATTGTAATATACACAGTAATGTTTTGTAAATTAAATCTGTAATTGTATAAATGAAAAAATAGTTATCTCACAAGAATTTGTCAAGTAAGTAATACTGTATAAAAAGCTGAGTTGAGTTGCGCACAAAGATGATAGAACATTAAATATGTCTTGGCCTTGGTTCAGACATGTCTTGATCTGTTTCTGTCCACATCTCTTACTTTTCGTTCACTAATTTGAAGGTTATTAACAAGATTAGTATCATCTTATGGAATTAATTTCTTGCCAAGAACCTTTTGAATGTCATGTGGGATTTTCTTACATCGAATTTCATATTTATATATATTTGAATATTTATGGTTACATAGGCTTTTGTCAGCTTTAACCTAACTTGTGTCAGGAGTTTTATGATCTCTTAGTGAAGGTAATTAGCAGTTGCTTCAATTTTATGATGGCCAAACCAGCATGCACATTTTCTCAGAGAATGCTTCAGGGTATCCTGTTGCTTATGTGGCTCAAGTTTATGAAAATGAATGGTAGTATAAATATGTTCGGAAATTTCTGCATGTGCCATCTTGCTTTAGTTGTGGGAAGCAGCATTTTTATGTGCAGTATACTATATAAAACAAAAAACAAGTAACATTTAGTAGTTTTTATGTAAACTTAGTTTTTTTTTTTTTTTTTGGCTAATATCTGATGCTATACTGTAGTTATTATAGGCTATGTATTAAGTAATTAGAAGTTACTCACTTGTATGTGAATTCAAATTATTCGTCCTTGAAACTGTAATATTGTTACATCATTTATGTAAATATCCTCATAATGTCGGAGTATTGTAGCTGATATAATAATGTAATTTTCATCTCAACAGTTTATCGAAACTGTAGAATCCACTGGAAGATGGCGGCGGGTATGCCTTTCTGGAGTGCACATGACCTCTTAACTAAATTGAGATTAACAGTGCCATTTGACTACTACTGTATTTGTTTTTGTTGTTTTTGTGGATCAACTAACTCAAGTACCACCTAGTGATTTATTCAGTGATTATGACAGTTCAGGTTTTTCATATGGGCTCACATTCTTATTCACAACAGAGGAGGTTCAACTTATAACCACTGATTTAGTCACTGATGGGTACTAAGGCGTGAGGAACCAGTTATAATTTGTGAAGAGTTGCTCTGTTGAATTCATAAATTTATTTTTTACATTATTACAGTATTAAAATTTCTGTGAAGTATTTCTTTTGAAATTTTGAAGTTAAGTGATATGTGGTATTGTAGTTACTTAACTGTAACTATGATTGGTGTCCTCAGTTGCTTAATGTAAAATGTGTTTCACCTTTGAAATTAGGTTTTGTCCCTTTTTGGATCAATTGAGTGATTGCTTTGCTAATGTTATTAAACTCCCTAATGGATAGTGTTTTTCTGGAGTATTTCAAGGGTATTCATTGAATTGTGCAGTAAAACCTATAGTACCTCCTTAAACACTAGTGTATAGTATGTGCAATAATGACTTAACTGTCTACTAGGTCCCAGTAATTGCACAAATTTATGCCAGTCAAATCATCCAATACTGACAAAATAACAATACTCTTCATGTTAAATACTTTTCATTGATGAGATTGCTCTCCTCCAGCCTTCAATGTGTTTGTTTATTTATATATTTGTGTATGTGTGTGCAATGATTTACCTCTCTAATTTGTGTTTCAAACATCACTCCTCTCCAAATTACTTTTAGTTTGGTGGCATAACTGTACCTCCAAAAAGTTTTAAGAAAATTCCCCTCCATTGAATCACAGCTACAATTTAACAGTTCCCTTCAGTGTTCATGTGTGTGAATAGTAAACCTCTTACTGTATTTTAACTGCTAACTGTATGGTGTGTAGACATAATGACATAATTTAGATCAATGGATATGAACCTGAAAACTACCGATTTATATATTAAGTACATCACTAAATGTGTAAGTTATTCACATCTCATCTCCTAGGAGAAAAGAATACTGTACCACTATCATTATATCTTCTTGATTTTTAGTGTTTCTCCTCTGAGCTTTATACTGGGTGTCTGATATATATTTGCACCGCCATAGATTGTTTTATCAATACATTTTCTCTGCTGTATATGCAATTATCTTCAGTCTTCATGTTTTAGTACAGTTCTCATAACAGCACATTTCTTTACCAAAACTTAAACAACAATAGACAACTGATGGAATCTGTTGTGTATGTTAGAAGGTATTTCATTTTCTTTTGTTTTAACAGAAATAATGTACAGTATATATGCATATTTTAAACTTGCATGTATGAACAATTCTACTTTACCAGAAAATGCAATAGAAAGTCAAAGGGTTAGACAGTTTGTTCTAGTAACAATAGTTTAGTTTATTGTTTTTGTTAGCATGCCTTAATGGAGCCATCCCCCTTTGTACATGTGTTATATTTAATAGGTTTTCAAAGCTTTTGCAGTTAATGAGAATATTTTATTTGTTTGCCTTCTGTATTTTATTTTTATAAATAGTAAAAGGATTTTTTTCTCTACAAATCCTAGCATGTTCAGCATTTTCCAGGTAATCCCTGTGTGTATGCATGCATAGATTTATTTTAGTTTGGTTAACTATTTGTTTCAGTTTTCACGATCCCGCACGCCAAGCCTTAATGGATCCTTCCGCTCCTATAGCCCCTATAACAGCCTGAACCGGAAGGTGCGTTATGATTTATTAGTAGTTTTTATATTTTTATTTGCTCATTAAAACAATTTAGTTTACAGTAGACGTAAAATATTATAGTTTACAGTAGAAGCAAGCCAGTATATATTTCCATGAATAATGTCCAACCTTTACTGAATCACAACTTAAGAAGAGTTGTGGTTGATCAATAATCTGTACAGGTAAAAGTCTTAGTGTCCATGATGACACTTCACATGTTTGAAGTACCGGATAGTTATTCCATTAGATGTCAAGTGTTGTGCTATAAACCTAAATGTGACCCTACTGTATAACCGTTATTGGGAATTAATTTGCTGTAGATATAAGAGGTAGTTCTGTGGCAATGTGGAAGGTTGGGTTTTCTGTTAATTAAGTCACTGCTCATAAAATTTAGGTGACATTAATATGAAAGAGTAAAGAGTGGATGTTAGTCACAAGCACTTAGAGATAAATGATGAAAGTAGAGCACTATGGGTGAGTGTTATGGCTGTTAAAAAGAAGGAACAACACTGCATGAAAGGGAGTGTCTTTACTGTGGCTACCAAGCAGCATAGTAGGTAAAGGTTTGCAAGGCAGGGAAAATTAATGATCTTACATTCAGAAAATTTGCTTCGATATGATTACAATTCAATTTGTTCAGATATAAACATAACAGTTTCTTAGACCCAGAGCAGCATTGTGTTGGAGGAGTCATCTTTGGTTCAAAGTTGGCATGATTCTGAATTTTATCATGGAAAATTACAGAAACCAATTAGCCTCTTCCTTACCACATGGCTAAACTGGCACATGCATGTATAATGGCAGTACAGTAGTGGGTGTTAAATGGGATTATTAGATCATATGGTAAGAAAGGGGTTAAGCTGGAGTTATGATATGCTATAATCCAGTTCCTGAAGAAGCTGTGAAAGGACATAAACCCACAATTTGTTCTCTAAATAGTGTATGAAATGTCTTTGATTCTATTTCACTATGGTATATCGTCATGTAAATTAATGGAGAACAATATTTTACTGCAGAAGTCCATTTGTGGTAAGACAGAACAACACTGCACCATCACTGGATTTATAGTTAGCGGGTGGTTGGTATATTCATGCAAAAAAAAAACCCCAAGTGTTAGGTTGTAGGAGGAATTTACTCTTGGATAATTTTATTTCTGAAAATTTGTAATAAAAGTTATTTATTGGATACATTATACATAAATGGATTGATGATTTTGAAGATTTAGGGCACGCAGTAAAAACCCCGAGTACTGGACTAATTAAACCGCAGCGACATTATTCCTCAGACGAAATCCGTTATTCGGATGTTCATATCAGCACAACTGTTCAAAACTACAGACAGCATATTACATTATATAGATTTGCTTATTTAAGTTCATAAGAAATTAGTTAAGTAAAATAATCATACGTATGATATACTTTCAATAAATTCAGCTGTTTTTATTACAGTGGTCCCTCGGTTAACGAGCACAATTCATTCCAGAAGGTTGCTCGTTAACCAAAAAATTTGTTAACCGAAACCATTGTTTCAATGGGTTTTTGGGTAATTGGTTCCAGCTCACTGAAAATTGCCTAAAGTCAACAAAAAAGGTAATAAAGTACACTTACTTTGAGGTGTGCATCTAGAAGGCTCCTGGTTGATGATGATGATGATGGAAATTAGAATGGGGGTGGAAGAGAAGTCACCCCATGGCGCCATTTCACCCATAAAATTTTAGTTCACGGTGTAATTCAAGATTATTTTCTTGAAATCAACACTGCACTGCATTTATATTATCAATATGTAAAATAAATTTCAAATTGACCAATAATTTGCTTGGAAACACAGAAAAAAAGCATTTATGTTGAAGAGAGTCTGAAGCAAGATGTTACCTCCACTGAAAAGACAGAGACTGACGCCTGTATGGTGTGTTGACAGGCTGTTTGGCATGCTAAAAACTAGTTTCCTTGTACTTAAATTATGTTAAATAATTGTTAAAATGACTAAAAATTTTAATATGACTTAAAATTATTGAATAGTACAAACCTCTTGATATTTACTAAAATAGTAAGGAATTTAAGCCCTAGAACCGATTACTGTATTGGCAGACTAATACTACAGCTGGTGGACTGCCAAATGCAAGCAAAAACATGTGGAGGGGCGCTCTTTAAAAACTGGTTAATCGTGGGATTGCTCGTTAACCGAAGTTAAGAATCTTATGGAAGGTAATTCGTAAAATGAAATCTCGTTAACCGAGGCGCTCGTTAACCGAGGGATCACTGTATAAGTGTTAATAGATGTAGGCGAGGTTCTAGATTCTAGAAGTTTTCAGAGCTGCAAAGATTTGTTTAGGTTCCCAAATCCCAGTGTACATATGTTTGTGGCATAGACAGCCTTGTGCAGTGAGATAAAGTGGATTTTGTGAATGTTTACAGTATACCGCTGGCAATGAAATAGATATGTTCATGAAATCCACTTCATTCTCAGGAACTATGTTGTTATAGGTAGACTTAACATTGAGTTAAAGGGAATAGGTTCCAATCCTTCGTGTTTCTATATTTTGCCAACTCCAAAAATGAGCCAAAATTGCAATAATAAAAAATTAAAGTACTTCAGTCCTTGAACCATCCTATGGGTGATGCCAAGAGTTGACGAGTTTATCCAGCCAGCTGACTTGAGAGATGTGGCTGCTACGCTGTGTATGCCGTGACATCACATTAGAGAGAGTGATGCATCCATACATATGTTCACCTCCCACACAGAAAGCTGTTCTCACTCACGCTCTTCATTTTTATTTTTATTTTTTTATAGTTTTATATTATACTGTATTTCCTTTATTTCTAAGTCACATTAGAGTGCAGTACTGAAATGATTTTTCCCACAACCTTTACAGTTTCATTACATGAATCTGTGGTAACATGCATAGTCATCTCAAGGCCACAGCTGCCTGGCAATGTGTGTGTGTGTAGTGCAGGCATGAATAGGACATTCTTTCACTTTAAGTGGGGATTAAGTGGGTCATGCTTTATGATATGGTTTCAGTAAATTCAGAATTCCAAATTTCTTCATTATCTTGGGAACTGTGTTTATTGTCGACCATGGCTAGCATTTCAAGTTTATCCTTCATGGTAAGACGCTTTCTGCTCTTTGGGGTCCTACCCGAACATACTTGGTTAGACATTGTTCTCACAATGTGTGTTATTTATATGTCACGAGAGAACAGGCACGTCTGCACCGAGTAATAGCCATGTGTAGACTGAGTGCAGCTCAGCTGTGTTGATGTGATGCAGGCTGGCTGGTGAAACCACGTGGTCCATACCATATCGCTCCACAACAATAACAATGACCTGTAAGATATTTATTTTAACATTTTAATATTTTTTTTCCAAGATTCGTGTCTTTACTCAGGTGGCCTGGTACTCGAGGTTTTTACTGTATTTTTTTTTTTTTTATTAATCTAAAGTAAATACATACAGTACATGTAAACTAAATGTTTGTCCTTGTGTATATTTAGATGAATTTTATGATTTGTTTGCTGCATATTATGGAATAACATGATAATGGGTTTTGTGTTTGGATTTTTGTTTAGTGGAAAATGTAAACATAATTGAATGTAAGATCAAGCTTGCTTTTGAGTTTTTTATCTGCGGAGTAGGTTAAATTATGAAGAAATAACATTACTATTATATTCATCTCTAAAATAAGGTAGGTAATTTTTTATGATATGATATTTATAGTGAATTTACGTCAATCTCTACCCCAGTTCTCAGGTCCATATCGCACATGCTCTCCTGGCTTGATCCTACGGGAGTACAAATCCTCTCAAAGCCCTATTGACATCACACGCATCTATACCTATTCCTATCTTGCTGCTGAGCCTTCACAAGGGTACCTCAAGCGCCCATTGGACCCTTACGACCGTCCTCCTCCCAAGTCTCCGCACTTCCACCGTCCGCCGAGTAAGTTCATTCATTTGTCCGGTGAACACTTGTAATGGGTCTCAAAAAATAATCTTGGAGGCTTATTTTTTAGCTTGTCCTTGTTTAGAATTGCAAGGTTACTCGTTATATATATTAAGGTAAAGTATATTCCTGTTATATTGCACGTGGTTAGTCACTTGTTGGCTCGAGTTTAGTTTTTCTCCTTGTGTCACTTTATATATTGTGTCAGGTGTTCTAGGAATATATACAGTACATGCACAATGCTAACTTGTGGGAGACCTCACACATCAACAAGTGAGGACAATATTGCTGTTTTGATAAAAGCTTTCAGGCAATACCCGTGAAAGTCAGTACGACAGCATATGTATCCCGGGTACATTTTTTAAAACACTCTTATAGGACTTGATTTTTTTATTGAATTATTCCTGGTGATGTGTTTTACTATATGTGCTTATGAAGGCATTTAGCAGAATGGCATAAAGAACTGTTACTTCAATCTTCTTTTTCATCAAGTCTTTACAGTACATATCTTTATTCTGAAAGCAGTAATCAAAAACAAGCACAAACTGAGTGGTGTGTAGAATGGTGGCTGCTCTTGTTTTATGAAGAATCAAACAAGATCTTAAGGTACTTACAATGGGATTTAGAGAATAGTTTAAATATACTACTGCAATAACAAATACCCTGTATAGTAATGCAAACTGGAATAATGCAGAATTATTCTTAGATTTCTCCTAAATTGTGTCAACTGTCTTGGATATAGAAAAACACCAACAACTGTTTATAGAAGACCATAGAGTGTACTGTGCTGTTGATGAAACCAAAGAGAAATTGGCCTCAGTTAAGGAGAAGAGACCATCAGATCAAATTACTGTACTTGTACTGTATTTTGCTCGACTCCCGACACTGTCACCGTACTATACCTCACTCATGTTAAAGTAAATTCAGCGAACATAAATTAGTGAATGATGGTAAATTTCCTGGATTCTATAATAGACAACAGCACTCAACTTACTACGGTATCATAATAATAGAACAATGAGCTTAAGTTCATTGCCTATCATTATTAGCACTTCTAAGGAAACATTTAACCGGATCCTGACTCTCTTAATATTTTCTATCTTTACTCTCCAGCGGATAGTCGAAAACTGTCACTGCCCAAGACGTCTAGCAGATTAGGTATGCGAGTTCTGGTGGATCAGATGCAGTCAGAAACACCAAGACCTAAATCTCCTCACATGAACAATGAGGAACCTATAATACTTTCTCATTATCCCGGGGGACGGAAGCCAAGTTCTGGAGATGTTTCACGAATCGAGAGAGATGATTTTCCTGCCCCGCCCTATCCCTACACTGATCCTGGTAAGACAATAGTTTGTAATACCAGATAACTTTTTTTTCTCTTTTGGAAGGGACCCATTATCCCACTGAAGTTTTTAGATTTATTATAGGTAACCAATGACTGGTACTGAATACTATGGTAAAGTCAGTTATTCTGTGGTTTTAGTCATCAATATTGTAAATGCTGCATTTTATTACTATTTGGATTCCTATTTCTTACATTCATTTAATTTTATATGATTGCCATTGCTGTTTAGGGAAGAATCATTAATTGCAGAAAAAATCCCGAATTAGGTAAATGAGAGAAAAGATGTGATTAGTTAATATTTGTACAGTATAGTAACTACTGTACAACAGAAACTCTACTACCCCCACACAGTAAAACCTTGGTTATGCAGACTATATGGATCAACCAATTTCCATGTGTGAAATCTTTATATTTTTCACTTGAAATGGGTTCTGTTGCACTAGTTATGGTGGTCATAATAATTTTGAATCCATGAAAATGGTATTACAGTACAGTATATGTATTTTCATCCATAGATTACATTAATTGTAACTACAATTTTATTCCTGTCTTTTTTTAAGCAATACAAAATACATTAGTTTTACATTGTTTTATTACACTTGGTGTTGTACATAAAGCACAACCATAGGAATATAATGAAGGTGTACAGTATTATCTCTGGTTTATCTGTTTGGATTATTAGTTGCAAAAGCTTCCACTGTACACCATCAATTGTTGACAAGTTACTGCCATCAGGTAATCATGGCCAACCCACAGAAGCAAGGCAAATGGCAGTAAAACGATGATAATGTTTCCATGTAACACCATTTCTCACTGGAGTTTATATTTATATTATCCTCTTGCTCACATACAGTCTGTACATTCAAGATAAAAACTATATACTGTATGATGAATCTTGAAGTTACAGTAGATAATGTGTGGATAGTTAAGATTCTGTTGTACATTTAAGATGCTACAATAGTTGCAGTTGTTAATACAGGAAAACATATAATGAAGATTTACTCAAGACTTTTGAACCTAAAGATAAGCATCAAGTTGTGCAATGGAGTTCCCCGTGTGAGTAAAGAATGTGCATTTAAGATTGTGTCCCTCAAACTCTGCATAACCAATTCCTGTCCCTTATGCGGTGTGTAGCTTTCCACTTGTTTCCTCTGGGTAGTGTTGGTTACTGCCCATCATACTTAAGCCTCTTAGCATTTTCAGTTGGGTAATGCTATATTTGGTATTCGGATTGCTTATTTCCCTCTGCTCACATATCAAAGACTTTTACTTCAATGAGATATTATGTCAGAGAAATAATAAGAAATTAATGTTTTCAGCATTGTGCCCAAATTTAATTAAAGACAAATTAAAAATATTGTTAAGCATACAATTGACATATTACAGAAGTGCATTGTCTAGTGGGAAACAAAGCTGGTGTGGAGATGCTGCATTAATATGTTTAGAAAGATGAAATATATAACTAACAAATACCATAACAGCTAGCTTTAATAGTCTGTGTATTTGAGGCATAGAATATGAATTACATTACACAGTACAGGGTACTTAATTTTTTATTATAAAATTTAGACATATTTCAATTATGCTACTGCTTTATGGTTTCAAAGATGTTTGAGGGGAGTAATTAGTAAGGTGTCCTCAGATCATACATAATGACAACTTGTAATAGATATCCCATCATGCTTTTGTAACTTCATATAACCTGAAACAGATGAAAAGAAGTTTTTGTAATGAAGAAAATTGTGAACCTCTTTGATATGTGGGTTGATACAGCAATGCTTTTTTTTGTATTTCACCCTCCATCCTTGTACTGTATACTGTATGTTGTATTTTTGTATAGTAAACTTTTGTAGTGGTGTTCCTGAGCAGGTTACAAACATTCTGTATCCCAACATACATTATTGTGGCTCCATTGGAATTTCTCATGCATTTTATTAATGTTTTTCCTTGTTGGTATTTTCAGTCCTTAATGGTTTCTTTTATATTTTTTTAATTAATATAAACCTTTTGATTTATTCTAAATCTGCCCCTGCCACTGTTGGCAAAGCTTTTGGAATAGCATTTTTTTATACTGTATCTTATTTTTAGCTTGGGATTCTTAACCAGGTTACTTTGTTTTGTTTTTTATTGTCAACTTATCAGCTTTTACCTCTTGTTCTAACCTGTCATTCTTAACTGAAAATATGAAGGTTTAGTCATGGAATGTACAAAATATTATTCACAGTGTATAAAAAACCCACTTTGATACAGTCAAGACAGAGCTGCCTTGTTTGGAAAGACACTGCTACAAAATAGGAACAGTCACAGGTTGTATTCCTAACCAGAGTGGAGGACTCAATTCCCTCCTTGTGCACATACCAATAAATGAATACACTAGTGGGTGCAGTTACTGATAGTTGAATACGTATAATGATAATATTGGTGGAATAACTGTTCAGTGATCTAGCATCCTGCCACTGGGTTGAATCTTTCACAGTATAAGTGATGTATTTCTCCCTCAGAAAAATTATTGGAAATCCATTGTGTGTATGAAAACAATTAGTAATGGCTGATTTGTTGGTTTTAGTGTCAAATCTGAATACCACTCAAGGGATGAAATATTATATACTGTACCATACTGTACCTATTAATTTGTGTGGATTTTTTTTTCAACAATGGTATTCCTTTGTTTGAATGTATACATCTGTTATTTAAATACAGTCACTAAATGTATACTAATTGTAAATATTTAAAAATTATATTCATTTCTTACAAACACTTTTTAGCACAAGTTTACAAAAAAATCTTTACTAAGATTAATTTACATGTACTTTACTTGGTTTCATTATTTACAGTTAATGCTGATTACAATCTCAGTATTTATTTCATGTGTTAGAGAAGTCCCTATTGGGTTTCAGTGTCATTAAACAGATTATAGTTATTTGAAAATGCATAAAACACACCTTGGTCATATTCTGGTTACCAGTTTTGTAAGGATCAGTGAGTGATTATTTGTGTAAAACTAGTTTATTAGATTTTTATTACTGCAGCAAGTCTTTGCCAGTGACTCGCCCATTCTTCTACCACATCCAAATAATATAACATTCTTAGATTGAATTCAATGGAACTCGGCAAAATTTGTCTGTAGTGTACTGACATTTCAATATGTGATATAATTTCATTCTGTGGTGGAGATAAGGTTATTTCTCCACGGGTGAAGCATACAAGTAACTTGTAGTTTTCTTCTTGTGTTGGTAAATGTGTCTGTAAGTCTGTGTATAGATCAGTTGGTAAATCTTATATGTTTTAGCAGCTTCCCCTTTTTGTCAGTCTTGGTGGTCTCTCCCTCATATTCTCTCCCTCTAATCTCTATACTGTGCTATGCTGTACTGTACCGTATTTTGTCTTTCCTTCCCTCTCTTAATCTTCTTTAAAGTTTTTCTTGGAATGTCTGTTTTTGATTCGTTGTTTTGTCAAAATTGTTTTTCATCTCTATTCTTCCCCTCATAAATTGATGTTTTTGATAGAATCTTTGCTTGTCAAATTATATTTTCAGGTACAGACTATGATCATGGTATGATTATTACTAACAATATGAGATACATTAATATTTAAAGTTATTACAGTACATTGAATGATTTTTTTGCATCTGGTGATTCAAATTTAATAAAGTTATACTTGCGCCTTATCACATTCTCTAGTTAATATACCAGTAACCCCCTGAGTGGTACTTGAGAAGAATTTTGGTTGTAGTTTTCCTCTTTCCCGAAGTGCTTTACTTGGAAAGCCACAGCCGCTGTTTGCATGTGTTATGCTTACATGTTATGAACTAACCATCATGATGGGTGTGGCCCTGGCCTCACTGGCAGATGTTTCAGAGCGGCGGCGAAGGTGGTCAGGCAGTAATAAAGCTGTTAGCATCGATGAGACGGATGAAGGCACAGAATTGGAAGAAGATTCTGTTGTTGAAGATCCTAAATTGAAGGTAGGAATACTACTGCATTCTTCCAGGAACAAAGATGAAATGCAGTACAGTATCTAGAAATGAAAATGTATTTACTGTATTTGAATTTTTTTTTTTAAATCCCATAGTATCTAAAAGTTCAGTAACACAGTACAACTCAAATATTTGTTTCCAGTTTGTATTTAAGTGCAATACAACATTGAAAATACTAATATCTTTATGAGAAAAAGATGTTTACATGAACACTATTTCTGATTAACAGAGAGAGGAAGTAGAACTAAGTAAGATTGCAACTGGCATTGGCAAAGTATTCCTTCAACAAGTGAAAGAGAGAGAAAAGATCCGAGCATGGAAAGCCACTCACCTTGACCCTCGTAATGCCTCACGGACACCAGCTGCTGATCGGGAGCCTGGATACAAATTGCGCTTTGGGTCATCTCTTAATGCATGTGAGTCAATGATTTTCACATCAGTTATGGGCAGTAGTGTATAATATTCTTGTTTAGAGATCCTGTATGCATACACATGATATGAATGGACTAAGATTTTTTATTTGATAAAAATTCACAGCAGTGAAAATACTTTTTGTTATAGACAAAGTTGTGGTCAAGAACCTTACCATTTAATAAAACTTGTTTCACAGGTTACTGAAACTTCAAAATATTAAATAATTTATATTAAATCTTGGCAGCACCTTCTCGAATGACAGACCACAGCCGACCTTGGGGTCCTGAAGATGATGAATTTGACCGAGGTTCATCATATCGATGTTCCACTGGGAGATCCTCAGCCACTATACCCTCATATAACGGTATGTATTGAGCCTCTCCTCACTACTGCTTCTACTGTAGGACTTTTTTTATACAAGAAACTATCAGATACAATTATGTACAGTAAACCCCCACTACATTGTGACCATGAGTATCATGATTCAGTAGTTCACAACAAACTAATAAGGGAATGGATTTTTATACCAATATTACAGAGGAGTGTTTAAGTTACTGCCGGTTATGGCAGGCCAGCGAGGCCATCACTGTTACTCCCTGAATATATAACCTTTCCTTAGCCATTGTTACCTGTAGCTGTGACATACACAATCACAGCTCTCCAACTCAAATTTTAACTCCCTAAATATTCAGATTTTCTTTAGATTTGGTATAACAGGTGGACTTCTTCCATATGGGCTTACAAGACAATCAAAGGGGGCCTCACATGGACTTGGTTGAGGCGTCCTTCGTTATTGAAAAAACGGCTTTTTTATTATAATTTTGAACAAGAATAAAATCTGTCATTGAATAAATTTTTGAAATTACATTTTATGTTGGTATATTATACAGTACAGTATTGTGTAAACTGAAATAATGCTGTTGCTGATTTTATTTTTATGAGTCTCCATACAATACAATTAAATAAATGTACTCCATATTACATTAAGTCTGTCTGTTTCTGTTTAGACCATTACACCACAGGTTGCTGGTTACTACCTCTACCACCACCCACAAATCATTTTTAGGCTACTACCTACACCACCACCCATAACAACAATATGCCACTGCCTCCCATATCACAATTAAATGTCCTTATGTAGTTGGGCATCAGGGCTTGTCTGTATCCATTCCTACCCAACCGGGATTTGGGAATAAATGATCAGGATTTACTATTGTGCCACAATATACGGGGTTTACTGTACTATACTGTTAAAGGTCATTGTTCTCACATACATTACTGTCCTTGAGTACCTCTGAAGGTGACAGATCTCTATAGATGAGGAATTTGAACATTTTAGTTCACTCAAGTTTTAAAAGTGTGACTTGAGTTAAATTTATGGTTAAGATGTAGGGAAGGAATGTGACTTTCTTTCTTAATATTTTTTTGTTGAATTTGTTCCTGATGTGTTCCTTTTTAATGCCTAGGATATTAATTTGTTATTATAAAAAGGAGAAAAATTATGTGTGAACTAAAGAAAATAGAGAACCAAATGCTCACACAAGGCATGGTCACATCTGTTTACACTTGGATCAGGGACCATGGGACTAAGTTACTTCTGGCAATAAGCAAAATAAACTAATTAAATCCAGCCTGATGGTCTTGGATCATTTTATTGTTTGTTTGGTAGAATTTGTTTGCTAGTTTCATTTCCAGTCAGAAGTAGTATACTGTGTAGTCCCATGGACTCGTAGTCAATCAAACACTGAGGAACTTTGTTGCACTTTAGCAATTTAGACCACTATTTTCAAAAGCTCTCCATCTCATTTCCAATTTTCCAACACCAGAGTTGAATTTATACATTAAAATTAACAGTAAAAATCTTGTCAAAAACTTCTTTACCAAATTCTCTTTGGATTGTGAGTTCTAAGACAATTATGTCAGGGCATCATTTCTTGAAACAAATGGTAACATTGAGTTTCTCCCCCTGTGGATGAGTGAGGCAAGATGAGTGTAGGTGATTCAGGATGTTTGTGTTCAAGTTACCAAATGTCAGACTCTTTGCTGATGACATTTAGTTAAACATCTTTAACTCCTGATATCACTCCTGTGTGTTCAGGTTGGGAAGATGTTTTATGTAGCCATCTGTGTTGTTTTCTACCTCTCACTTTACAGCAGGATGACCATTGATGGTGGAAATAAATTTTGTTTTAATTGCCATTGTTATTAGACTTGGATTTTATTTTCATAAAATCTTCCATACCAAATTATTACAATATATATCTAATGGACTGATATATTTTTATAATAATGATAATAAACATGTAGTTTGTTTACTTATATAATCACTGGGTATTATATATAAACTGTATGTAAAATTTACATATTTTTTATACTAAGTTAATTTTAAGAAGTTTTATTGTAAGATTTTTAGTTTTTGTTAACAAATTGAGTAATTTTCTCTCGTTAACAAACAGTTCTTGAATAAAATGTGAGGTATGGGTTGTGACAGCGGTTAATGTGAACCAGCAGTATAGGGTTTGTAAGCAATGCCTTTTGACTCAGTGTGTTCAGTGTGCTTCCCCTCCCCTCCATTTACCTGGTCCTTCCCACATACTAGTACTGTACAGTATACACTGATGCAATAAGTGAAAACACACTCGACTTATGTTGTACTTGAAAATAACTTTTTCTATTTTAAGTTTTAGAGCAAAATGAAACAAAAACCTTGTGTAAGGAACACATTCTTTATCATAATGTACATAAGTTGTTGTTTATTACTAATTGCATCACACATCTGACCACGCAGCACTTGTCCCAGCGTGCTTCAGTTTTCAGTTCCTTTTTAACAGTTTAATCATATTTTGTAATTTATATACCAACCATTATTATTTATTTATTTATTTATTTTTTTTTTTTTGCATGGCCTATTTAATTTCCAGTAATGTGTTCATAGAATTTTAGAATATTTACTAGCATTTAAAAATTGTTTAGCATTTTAACACTCGTTGGGTTTTCATACGCAAAATTGCGTATGGTGATAGTGTGGTGCCTACTGAGGCCTCTCCCAAACGAAATATGTATTAATTTTTCATAACTTTTCTTTTATGACAAATTTTTCCTAAATATGTACACTTTTATAATGGAATAAGGTTCATATTGCAATCACATGAAATAATGAAGGTATAAAGTGATTTACAGTATTGTACCTAATAAACATTTTCATTAAGCGTAAACAAAATTTTTTAGTTCTACTTGCACTTACATATAGAAATAATTATTTGATCATGATTGCTCATATATATAACTGTTTGTAGATAATTTACTTACAATGCTAATGCAAAAAATCCTACTTTTTCATCTCAAATTGCATGCTTGCTATGACTCATTCTGTACCATTATTTCTCGTGTGGTGAGGTGAATAACAGGCCAGACCTCGAGAGTCTCACAGGAGAGGTCATACCCAAACCCAAGAGTGTTAATTTTTCTGGGCTAACTTTCATAATTCCAAAGTTTATTGATTTAATCCAAACCACATCCAGCATATATATATATATATATATATATATATATATATATATATATATATATATATATATATATACTGGATGTACAGAGTTTAATAAGTTAAATCAAATATATATATATATATATATATATATATATATATATATATATATATATATATATATATATATATATATATATATATATATATATATATATATATATATATATATATATATATATATATATATATATATATATATATATATATATATATATATATATATATATAATTTTCTTGTAATTTATATTTATTTAAAGTAAAATTAGTCATTATCACTTCCATGTAAGTCTTTCAGATGCCTTTCCCAAAAGTAATATCTCCGTTAACCGGAATCCCTCAAACCTGTAACTCTCTGATAGTCAGAATTGAAATTTTCTCAGAAAATCGTTCCCAAAACAGGAAGTTTCCGAAAAATTCCAGGTTTGGGAATGATTTTCCGAGGGGCACATTATATGGAAAATTCCAGGGATGGGGGAGTATTTTTTCCCCTTGGGTTTGAGAGATGAAAATCGGGCGCATTTTCCAGAAATTCAGAGAAAATTTTCCGGCACCTGCAAAATTCCAGGGATGGGGGATATTTTTCCGGGTTCAAGAGTTGATGTACATTATGCCCCCCAAGTTTGCAGATTTTTACTTCGCAGTTCTTGGTTATTCGCGAATGACACTCTGGATGGGTAGTTTTAAAGTTGCTGGCATTTTTGCGGCTGGGACAGGGAGCCATTCGTTCTAGAGACAGTAATTTTCTTTACCTGTATTGTAAATACAGTATGTGTATGTATGTAGACACACACACAAAACACATACAAATAAATAATAATTGGATAAACCTCTCACAAATAATCAGAAACAAATTTATTAAAAATGTGTCAGTCTACTCTCAAGTTCGTGCTCTATTATGTCCTGGAAATCACACATCCTTAGTATAACTAAAGCTGCCTCCCGAAAGTTGGGAATGCTATACAGATGCCGCAGCTACTTCACTCCTGAGCAGTTGCTCCAAGTATATAAGGGATTCATTCGTCCTAACTTGGAGTACTGCTCTCATATCTGGGGTGGCTCTTCTGTCCAACTATTAGATAGGGTGGAATCAAAGGCATTTCGTCTTATTAACTCTCCTCCTTTAGTCGACAATCTCTCTCCCCTTTCTCTTCGCCGCAATGTTGCTTCACTCTCTCTCTTTTACAGGTACTTTAACGGGCAATGTTCAGGGGATTTGGCATCCTGTGTACCGCCGGTAAGGCCGTGGGTTCGTAACACACGTCTTGCCCGCGGTGCCCACCATTTCTCTGTGGATATCGGTCACACGAGAATAACCCGTTATAGTACCTCCTTCTTTCCTCACACAGCCAAACTGTGGAATGCTTTGCCTTCTTCTGTGTTTCCATGCTCTTACAATCTGTCTCACTTTAAAAAGCTGGTTTTCCGGCATCTTCGTGGTGTAGATTAATACAGTATAACCTTTTTTTCTATATTTTCAATTTCTTTCCGTTCTTTTTTTTCGCCCCCAGGCTCCGTTGTGGGTCGTTTGACCTGTGCCCGGGTTGGCTAATTCCCGTAAAAAAAAAACTTTATTAATAGAGCACAGACTTGAGGGTAGACTGTCACATTGTTAATAAATTTGTTTCTGATTATTTGTGAGAGGATTTTCCATTTATTATTTATTTGTATGTGTCTTGTGTGTGTGTGTGTGTGTGTGTGTATGTCAACACACACACACACACAATGCTACAGGTAAAAGAATTAATTGTCCTAAGGGCAAACACATAAAGGAAATATAAATTTCATTGTACATAGTAAAAAGTAACACACCCCCC